AGAACAATAGTATGGAAGACTATTTATGATTATTTAATGTACGTATATACAGGAGAATTCCTCCTTCTAATTGTCAATTTTGCTAAAAAACAAAAATTTTAAAGATATTAAAACATATTAAGAAGAATGCGAGAAAATCTTGATTTTAAAAAAGTATCAGCCTAGTAAACTTTTAATCATATTATGGGTACATGAAAACTGATTGTTTTCTGTGATATATTCATTTATACCCTGCTTGGTAACAGAGGAACACTTGAAAATTAAATTTTATTTTTATTTTTCGCAAAAATTCCTTGCTTGGTAAAGAATGTAGCATTAAAAAATAGATCACAGCTTCCTTGTATCTTCATTTTTCTGACAATTGAACGTGTTGTATATATGTATGATTCTCACAATAAGCGAAAAGAATCTGGAGGGCTAATGTACAATACAATACAGACGAGTATTTCCTGTATTTAGAGAATATACTATACACATGTACATGTTATATATGTATTGTTTAGTAGTCCCTATCCCCAAAATTTTCTTAATGTTAAGGCATTGATGTAATATATAGTGAGCAAAAAAAAAAAAACACCAACTATCTGCAATCCCCTTTCCCGGGAATCACACGCCTTTCATAAATTCCATGGCCCATGTCCCCCCCCCCCCCCCCCCCCCCCCCCCCCTCCATAAATAGGTATTTCCCTTGAGAGTGTTAAAACTTTTTATTATAGAAAAAAATTGAGTTGCGAGCTTTATGTAATTCCTTTGTATGTCCCAATTCACACCATGCCGTTTTCTCTCGTGCAAAATGCATAATGCTATGAAGTGGTGGCATTTATATTACATAAGACATGTACTAATATTTGGTAAAGATAGTTGACTAAAAAGTAGATACAACTTTTCTACATACATGAACTTCGTGATCACAAATTAAGGAATGTGATTGTGCATGCTATTGGACATTACAGATATACCTGGATTTAGGTTTTGAAATACCCATATCTGTGTACATCAATTCAAAACACTTATTTTATTGCTGAAGATTTGCAAAGAGGATCTGCTTTCCTTCGTAACAAAGATTCGGTAAAAATTTTTGTAAAGTTTTGTAAAACTTGTTTTGTTTCATCTGTATGACTCTCTACTAATCCGATAAATAAAGGGAGGGGAGCCTTTAGCTTGATCAGATAAGTAAAAAGCTGCTGGATGTCGCTGACCATTGTAAAATTTTCAGAATTCCATTAGCATGGGTACAAGGGTGTTGCTAAAACGCGGATCGAAACGGAAAATATGATTGCACCCAGATTAAATCCCTTAAACGGTATATCTTATGCATATTTTATCCCTCATTATTAAATACAAGTTGATTTAGTTATGTCCTGTCTCTTATTTACGAAAATCGCCGACATAGCAGTGACGTTCTGCAAGTATTTTGCTTTTGAGAGGGGTAGGGGTAAAATATAATAAACTTACCCTGAAAGATCCAAGCGGTTTGATTTGGAAGGGGGATTAATCAAGTTCAAACTTATCTTCTCTCAGTACGTTTTTTATTACATAACTTACAACTTTAGGCTGCCCGAAGTTTGTATACTGTGCACGGAGCTCGAGGTCTCGGAGAAATTGGCACTCGGAAAAGTCAACATATTTTAAAGTGTTCGTTTACTTTTAGCAAAACTATACACTACATATATACATATAACGAAGTCGCTGGGACCTATGAAATCACTTCGCTATATCCGTAATTCGTTATAACCGTATAAGAAATGCATTAAATTTATATAGCTGGGGATCAAAAATGAGCTATATCCGTAAATTCGCTATATCCGTGTATAGTTTTACTGTAGAAATAGACAACATGTGAACCTCTGAGAGTATGTAAAGTGACAAGTTTACTTAAAACTATTGTGAAACAATAAGCCTACATGATTACAAATATTGACCGTATTATAATGAGTAAATACTCATTTCTTCGAAGATTTTATTTGTTTAATTTTTTCCCTTCCTCCCTCGTAGGTTTTGAAGTTTATAGGTAACATCAAACGTACAATTACTTCCAGTCAGCCTTAATCACATTAACAAAAAGTATGTGTAGGGCAGGGGGGGGGGGGGGGGGGTCAATAACAATTATTGAGCTAAAACTTATACAGTGTTTGAAAAAAGTGATGGCAAAATTTTGATATCTAAATGATCCATGGTGAGGAAACTGAAATCTAAAAAAAAAAATTTGAAGATTATGATTAGAGGCAACCATAACAGGATAACTTTGGTACACACCTGGAATGAGCAATGATGTAAAAATCTTATACTAAGGTCGCTTCAATTAAAGAAAAAAAATTATATGCTTTTATTTAATTTGCAAGAATTTTCTTTAATGTTTAAGCTATTTATATTTGAATTTCTTGATACGCATATAATGCCACTGCAAAGCTGTCGGATTTAGGGAGGGGGGGGGGTTGTGTCCAAAATATACATTAGATTTAATAAATCAATTTTTGGTGTGGTTGTGGGCCCCTGCCCCGATTCAAAACTGCCCTCCTTTCTACAAGATTCCTGGATTCTTCACTACATACATGTACATGTCTGCATCAGCTGAATGTCAAACATGCCCGGGGTATGTCTTTAAAGATACATGTACATGTATTCACACACCAATAGCATTTTTCCTTCCGCTTTTTTCAAAACCATATTTCTTTTTATGAACGCGCTTAAAAAAATAACCGATTTTTTATCATATATATCAAGAATATTGTTTTTTTTTTTTATTCAGAATGAAGTATATCTGCTTGACACTAATTTTCCGTTCCGTTTTCCATTCCATGTTTTAGCAAGACCCCCCTTCCCGATCTACCACTACATGCTTCAAAATATATAAATTTGTGTAAACATGTAGTCTATAACTTTGGATGATGCTGTATGAAATATCCCCCCCCCCCCCCCAAATTACATGTAATAAAATAAACATACTATTTTGGACTGATAATGTGCATACTACATGTATCTATAAAGTATTCGGCAACTTTTTTACGTGTATTGTTTTGTTGAACTCCTATCAGCTATACTGCAGATTTATTATTATCATGAATATTATATTTATTTTTCACAATAAAAGGCTTTAAAACATATTTTATGTTGGGCCATGCTTTTAATGTAATGTGATTTAACAGATTAAAGGGTTATCGTATTCGATGCATATACATTTTATTGTATTTTTTATGGTTGTCATATTATTGTTAGCAGGTCACACTATGACTATAGTAAGACTTTACACATGTACATTGATGAAGACACGTAGAAAATATAAATATACTGAGGTATTTCTGATTTATTTTTTAATTAATATTTTAATAAATAAAAAAAAATATTGTCTACTTCTGAGGTCTAGGATATTTTAGTACTGTTGTTCAATACTATATGTACAACCAACGGACACTATAGTCTATACACTTGTGCAGATGATGTACAAACAGCTTTTAATGTATTTACAATGGCATCTTTAGGTACCATTTATTCTTTGTTTTCAAAATATTGTATTCATATTCATAGGTATCTGTGTGTACAATATCCAGTGATGGCAGGTTGAAAATATATTTTGTATCAATTATGCCATTAATATGATATCAGGAAAATTGTGTCGGCAAAATATCTTTTTCCGAATGTAAACTTTCAAAATTCATATTGATCACAGATGCTAACCAACACTATTCTCTAATAGTGTAACTGCGATATTACCAGATGATCACTTATATGCGGAGTATAAAAGTGGTTGTTGCATGTGAAAGGGACTAATTTCAGCAAAGATTACCTACATTTTTCAATATAATTTAACAAAATTTACAAAATTCCATGTTTATCGCAATTAGTGATATATTAAAAATAGTATATTACATGTAGAAAAAGATAATGGTCATTTAAAGCATAACAAAAAAATTGTACAGAAGATTAAAATATCGCATTTTTGGCGGCAAAAATGCGATATTACTTTGTTCTTCTAAATGACCATTTTTTTGTCTCATGTTATACTATATTCAATATATATGCCATTGCTAAAGTACATTGTTTATTTTTTACATTTTGTCTTAATTTTTGAAATAGGTAGGTGAATATTTTCGCTTTAAACGCGCCATGGAATGGTCGTGTAAAATCGTTAAATTATATTTAAAGTGATAATCTTTGCTGAAATTAGACCCTTTCACAGCAACAACCACTTTTATGATAGCATAAATCTGTTCATCTTTACATATCGCAGTTACACTTTGGTTGTCTTTGAGATCAATATATTTGCAACCTGCAAAGTATTTGTCACACAGTTGCCAACTGTAATAGAAATTCTACAAGAATTTTCCTGATATCGATATTAATGAACATTAACTGAGCATATTAAAAAAATTGCATATTTTTACCACTTTTATTCAACTTTTCTTTTAAAATGATGACCACATTTATTTAATTTATTTACTTGTCTTAATATCTGTTTATTAACTAAAGTTTCATTTATATATTTATAAAATTTTTAATTTGTTTTAAATCTCCATGTTGTTTTTATTATTTCACAGAAATTAAAAAAGGGGGATGGAGCGTTCATATTTAACGTCGGGATCGATATTCTGCATTGTTTACATATATAAGGCAACAATGCTTCACGGATCGAGCACATTTGACTGATTTACCAGGTAATACATGAATATTAGAAAGTAGCAAAGCATTAATTAAAAAGGATTTTATTTCAATGAAGTACTATGTTTGATAGCTGAGATAAGCTGAATATTTTTAAACTCGCATATTCTTATATCTAGTTCTGCAAGATACACAGGAAGGTATAATGACCTGATACATGTAGTATAATACCCTGATTGACCTGATTACATATATATAGTAAAATAAAAAGCATTTTAAATGCACTTATTGAAAAACTATGAATATTTATAATTATCATTTTCTATTTGAATCATAAAGAACATGTACCCCTGGAAAGAATGTGAATACTGAGTTATTCCTTTATTCTTTTACAGAACTTAGAGAGCAATAATTGAATAATCAGACCATGTCAGAATTTGATGTGGAGACAGCTATACCCAGCACCAGAGATCCGGGATCTGACCAGGGAGAAGACTCTAATGGTATATATACATATAGATACATATAAATACAAACATTCTAATTGTAAATAATATATACATATTGCATTTAGTTGAGTGTAACATTGTACATTTTTATCCCAAGAATACCATTGTCAACCGAGGTGTTGATATTGGGTCTTCATGGGGTGACAATTTTCAATGTTACACTCAACAAAAGGCAGTATTTATTATATAATTTTGAGTGCTTTATGTAAAAATACATTTTACAGTGAACCTTGCACATATAAATTCTGTATAGTCAACATTTTTTAGAATATCACCCGTCGTCAAGCAATGTTGACTGTTGCTACACTGGAGGACATGGCTCCATTTATATTCATAAGAAGGCTCAAGTTAGCTTCAAATCTCTCTGTCGCCCGCGTGTTGCAGTGGTAAAAGCGTCTGCTTTAGAGTCACGAAGCAAGGGATCAATCCTTATGTCATGGGTGGGACGTGGAATCCGGTTTTTTAGATGTGACCATATAAACCGAGGCCCCGTGTGGCAGTAGGTGCTGGCAGGATAAAGATCCCTCCCTGCTAAATGGCGCTGAGTGCGGAGTATAGGACAAAATTTGCAGCTCTCCACCGGCAAGTGGTGACGTCTCCATCTTTTAAAATTGTGCTCTCAAGAACCACTGGGCCAGGAAAGATTAAACTCATGGGGAAGCTTCCTCAGGAAGTGTAGATTCAAGTTTGTTCAAAATATGACCCTGGGGATAGGACCATGATGGGCCAGGGGGTCAAAGTTTAGCATAGGAATACATAGGGATAATCTTTAAAATTATTTTTGTGAAGAACAGCAAAACCATAATTGGACATAGTAATATGGAAGTATTCTTGTGTGGTGTAGATTTAAGTTTCTTCAAACCCCCGGGGGTAGGTTGGAGCCAAGATGGGGTCAAAGTTTAACATTTTTTAACATAGGAATAAAATCTTTAAAATTCTTCCTCTCAATAACAGCAAAGCCATGATTGGTCATAGTAATATGGAAGCATCCTTGTGTGGTGTATATTCAAGTTTCTTAAAACCCAGGGGGGCAGGGTGAGACAAAAATCGGGTATCAAAGTTAAACTCATCATGATTCATTTGAAAAATCTTTAAAAATCCCCTTCTCATGAACAGCAAATCTGTGACTGTAATTTATATGGAAGCATCCTGGGTAGTGAAAATTCCAAATCATAACCAATAATGAAAGTAGAAGAGCCATACAAGTGGATCATATAGAGTTTTACATAGGAAGATAAAGGCTATATCAGTAAAAATTTTCCTCTTATGAACAGCAAAGCTATTATGTATCATATTTATTTAAAAGTATCGGTAAGAAGTATATATATATATATATATATATAGATGTAAGTTTGTTCAAATACCTCCCCCTCCTCTATTGAACCTACCAGTTCTTTTTCTATTAAAATTTTTTAACTGATTTATGCTTTTAGTTTTACATAGCCAGATGCTCAGGTGAGCAATGTGGGCCCTTGACCTTTTGTTTAATAAATGTTTCTCAACATCAGATTCAACCAATTTACAGGAAGTGGAAGTATATGCAGCACTGTTAAGGTTTCCTATAAAGAAATAAATGGAATATACACATGCAAAAAATGTCAACCCCATGTCTTCATCTGGTGTTATCAAAAGACAGAAAGAACTTCTCTTGGGGTTTTTAGGGGTCATAAAGTAGGGGGGGGGGGGGCTGTGCTGCCCCACTCCTGATTGTTAAAAGTAGGTGTTAATTTTCCCAAATTTTATGAAAGAAAATTTCTAAAAGAGAATTCTCAAGTCTCTTTTGTGAGTTTCAGTAAATATATGATATATTTTTCTGAGTGGCCTAAATCACTCTTTTATTCATCTGCACTTCCTCTGTCATACATGCATACATGTAATGTAATAATAAGAAATTGTAAGATTTCTTCACATAACTTGGTATGATTGTAGAAGAGAAGTTGACCTTTGACATTTCTGACCCTGAGGGAGAAGGTCATCAACACAAAGTAAAAGTGAAGGTAAGTCAATGTCCTGTAGTAATAACAGTAAAGGTAAGTCAAAATTTTACTGACAATGTTCTGTAGTAATTACAGTAATCAGGCCACCTTTAAAAATTGTTTGGTTGAATGCTCTTTTTCAACCTAATTGCTAAAAACTGCTTGACCCAAAACTTGTTTTAACTTCCAAAAGGCAGTAATTTTTTATGTATTCAGAAAAATTCAAATTTTAAAACGAAACATTGAAATTGAATTTTCTGAGAACAAAAGTCACCTTTTTACCAACTGACTTTTTTCATCCTGAGCCACCTGATGGCAAACTTACATTACTATAAACAGGTTATGACCACTAGATTTTGTGACGTCAGGATAAATCTGCATGTGAATTAGCTATCTGTTTACTTTACCCACTGATGAATGAGTCACAATGCATTGTGGGCTACTACAAGTACTCATCTTCGTTGAAAATAAAAGCCAACATGAATTGTCCCTTGGAAACTTCATTTCAATTCTTTTTAGCTCACCTGAGCCAAAGGCTCAAGTAAGATTTTCTGATCAATATTTTTCTGTCGTCTGTCGTTGTTGTTGTAGTTGTAATCGTCGTTGTTGTCGTAAACTTTTCACATTTTCATCTTTTTCTCAAGAACCACTGGGCAATTTCAACCAAACTTGCTACAAACTTTCGTGAGGTAAAGGGGATTCAAGTTTGTTCAAATGAAGGGCCACGCCCTTTTCCAAGGGGAGATAATCTTGAATTAGAGAAAAAAAATGGCATTTTTAAAAAATCTTCTTCTCAGAACCACTAGGCTAAGAAAGATGAAACTCATGTGTGCAAAGGGGAGATAATCTTGAATTAGAGAAAAAAAATGGCATTTTTAAAAAATCTTCTTCTCAGAACCACTAGGCTAAGAAAGATGAAACTCATGTGCAATCATATTATATAGATTCAAGTTTGTTCAAATCATGACCCCGGGGGGTAGGTTGGGGCCAAAATGGCCGATCAAAATTTTACATAGGAATATATAGGACAAATCTTTAAAAGTCTTCTTCTCAAAAACCATTGGGCCAGGAAAGATGAAACTCATGTGGAATCATCATCAGATAGTGTAGATTCAAGTTTGTTCAAACCATAACCCTCGGGGGTAGGATTGGGCCAAAATGGCCGATCGAATTTTTACATAGTAATATATAGGAAAAATCTTTAAAAATGTTCTTCTCAAGAACCAATCGGCCAGGAAAGATGAAACTCATGTGGAATCATCATCAGGTAGTGTAGATTCAAGTTTGTTCAAACCATGACCCCCAGGGGTAGGGTGATGCCAAAATGGCCAATCAAAATTTTACATAGGAACACTACTGGACGAAAAAAGTGCTGAGAATCCCATATTTTACTGATAATGTTTGATAATTACTGATACGGTGCTGTTCTTGCTGATAATTACTGATATTTACTGTTATTATTACTGTTGTTGCTGATAATTTTAGTTGTTGCTGATAAATACTGATAATTACTGTCGTCTTTTACTGTGGAGTCTGATAAATACTTATAAATACTGTTGAGGTACTGTCGCTGCTGAGAATTGCTGATAATTACTGTTGAGGTACTGTCGATGCTGAGATTTACTGATAATTACTGTGGTCATTGTTTTTAACCTGGGAATTGGTTTAAAATAAAACAGAGGGCTATAAAAACCTTCAATTATTACTTTCTTTTACTTGAATTATCATGACAAATTTTTCATATTTCTTTAAATGTTCCGCTTGTGACAAATTACATGTCTGTATGTATGTATGCTGATCTCAATTTCTACATAACGTTTGTGAAAATTTTGACAATAATCAAATGAATTATTAATAGAATGAATATATAGAAATAGAATTTATTTAATTAAAAAAAATTAACTGCAGAAAAAAAATTGAATTTTACTTTTGCATAAGTTCTTATTGAAAAATAAACTGTAAATAAAAAGAAAATAATGCTATCTTTAAAAAGATCCATCGCCGCCTTTCCCGACTCCAAGAAAACTATGTAGTGTGATCGGTGATCTTTTTTTTCAATAATAAGAAAAAAGTTCTTAATGGATGGAAAAAAAATCGGGATAAAAAAAGTTTCCTGCAGGTTAGAAAAGTTGGATTTGTTCCGTTTTCACTAGGTCAACTGATCGAGTTTGGACAACATTTTGTTTTTGAAGGCCTTTTTTCTCGAAAACAATTATATTTATCTTGTTAAATGTTCATTTTTATGGTCTCTTTTTGTCGAAATATTTGAAAATGTGCTCGAAAATTAGAAATTTTATCCCTTTTAAAAAGTAACAAAGAGGTGAAAACAGGTTTGAATATGTTCAATCTGTGGGCACTGATTTTAATTAATAATTTATTTATTTATTCATTTATTTGAATGTTATGTAGACGTTTGTAGATCGTCCAAGAATTAAACTCCTCCACATGTACATATGTACAAGTGCACACCGTATGCATGTGCCACCGGCAAATGGGGCGAGCTGATTAAAAATTAGAGGTTAATTATCCCTAGTGCAAAGGTACATGTGTTTAGTTTGTCTCTTAAAATTTAAATACAAAATCATTTTTTATTTAATCAGTTTTGAAATCTCGTTAATTTTTTTTTGTTTGATTTTATGGAATGGGATATAAGAACTGAAGTGAGACTTAATTTAATATGTTACTATTAGTATATGATCAAATTGATCGATCTAAATTTTGCATGGTAAAAAGTTGAAAGGAAAACACCTTTAAATTGATTTCAATTGATAAGAAATCGGTGATCGACCTGTGATTTGGCTGTATTGTGTACATGTCTTCAGCCCCGGGGTAGAACGGGGTACAACTTGTATATTCCATGCAAATTGTAGTGGTCAGCGTAACAATGGGCACTAATTACCTATTGTTCTTCGTCTGCGGCTACCGGTGTTATCAATAAACAAACTACCTACACTGTACATGTACTCGCTACTTTGGAACAATCTTAAAGTTTATGGTCGCACGAAAAAAAAATTCCGTAATATTGAATTTGATGACGAATAAAATTGATAGAAAATATGTTTAGAATAGAACACTTCGGTACTATAATTAAAAAAAAGATATATACATATACATGTACATCATGTACGTTGTACAGACTTATTTTAATTATTATTTCAATTCACAAAGATCTATCTTTCTTCAGTATTTAATTTCATTTTTTAGTTATACGCATATTTCTTCAATCAATCAATCAATCAATCATTTATTTGAATCTTTTTACCATTTTACATTAGTATACATAGACCACAAAAACATATAAAATGTGGTGATTTTATACATAACAGTAGGTCTAAAAGGCATGCGTGAATAAGAAACTAAACAAAAAAATTTTGTAGGTTGCTATAAATGCGAAGTAAGGGAATATAGGCCGGGGAGTATATTTTGTTTTTCAGATAAAAGAATATCCCGGGGGAGGTGGTCAGATGTATTTTCAATTCTGAATCTTTGCTAACGATGGTTTGGGACCGGTAAATATGTAGACGAGAAATTTACTTCACTTTTTAATAAAAAAAAAAAGGTGTGCAAAATATACAATCATATAGATATAAAGAGAAAGATTGTTTAGCGAAGAACTTTTTGAAATAATATTAGCATTAATTGTTCACAATTGAGATGCAGGGAAACTCCACTTCGCTTGATCTGAGGAAAAAAAACCTTAATAAATGTTTGGATTTTGAATGTCAGAAACATGACGTTGTGTTTCGTACTCATGAATAAATGTTATAATTACTTCAGTTCTGAATTTTGTATGGTTCATTGCAATTGATTCTCTAAAATAATTTTATTCATGCATATAAAAAATTCGATAAATATAATATCATAACTTGCATGACTTTTAAAACACACAACTAAAGAACAGACCTTGCCCTATCGGCTATCACTTAATTGTAAACAGTATTTCACCCCCTCCTTTTTGTGCTACAATCAAGTAAAATCATATAAATAAGCACCAAGTCTGTACTGTTCGTTTATACAAAGGTCTCAGACAAAAATGGAATTTAAAAAAAATGATAATCTCTGCACAAAATTCTTATTTTACAAAAACGCAAGCCGTAACGATATCCCTATGGCAGAATGTACTAATAATTGACCCGATTCTAAAACGAAAGTAGAACTTTTACACGTGGTTACATGTATGTTCCAGAACAACAAGCACAAAGTTTGCATTAATGGAAAAAGTTAATTCAAGTTCTGATTTATTTTATCTTGTTTTTTAACTGACTGACCGCATATAACATGTTTAAGGAGTGGCGCATAATATTAGAAGCCATATGCCCATAGACTTAAAACTGTATACAATGAAAAAAGAATTAGGCTAAAGAAAGACGTGTATTTCATTGACTGAAAATCTCACTGCATAAGATTTATGTCATGTAGTATACAATACTTAAGCCTTAACAAATAATTTAAAAGAGAGAGAGAGAGAGAGAGAAAGAGAGAGTGAGAGAGAGAGGGAGCTAGAAAGCGACACAGTGTTAAATCGCAGGGAGAACATCGGAGAACTAGAGCGCGATGTCTACATAATATATAAAAAAAATAATTAAAGATGCTTCAATTTGATTATTTAACCCTGTCACATTCTTCTCTAAAATAACAAAGTGTACTCTTCAAGACAAGATTTTATGACAAATATTTAATACTGTCTTGTTAAATTGAGAGCTTAATTTAAAAGTAAATGGAAAGGGGGGTATGTTTTCAACTTAATGTGTTCATGCATTTTCAGTTCTCCACACGGTAAAATAAATTGATATTTACAACCATTGACTGTATTGAAGTATTGAAGATACCCATAAAAAGGTTTTGATGACAGTACACATACATGTACATGTGAGAAAAAATATGAGATGAGATTTTTTTAACCTTTATGAACAAAAATTAAACTTTTTAAAAAAGTACTTGGGAAGAATAACCACTGCAAATACAACAGAATAATTTTCCTCAGATAATGTCATCTACGTGTAAGGAGAAATTTAAAGAAAAAAAACATAAACATTTATGAAAGCTTATGTTAACATTATGGTCTAAAAATAATTATAATGAAATTGATAGCTGTAAACTGAAAACAAATTAATAAACGTGACTTTTTTTATTTAGAATAATTTTGTAATTGACTGTAATGAATTTGATAAAATACTTAAAAAAAAAAACAATCATTTCTCAGGCTATTTTCATCCATTCCCAGGTTAAAAACAATGACTACAGTAATTATCAGTAAATCTCAGCATCGACAGTACCTCAACAGTAATTATCAGCAATTCTCAGCAGCGACAGTACCTCAACAGTATTTATCAGTATTTATCAGACTCCACAGTAAAAGACAACAGTAATTATCAGTATTTATCAACAACAACTAAAATTATCAGCAACAACAGTAATAATAACAGTAAATATCAGTAATTATCAGCAAGAACAGCACCGTATCAGTAATTATCAAACATTATCAGTACAATATGGGATTCTCAGCACTTTTTTCGTCCAGTAGTGGAATATATAGGAAAAATCTTTAAAAATCTTCTTCTCAAGAAACAGTGGGCCAGGAAAGATGAAATTGATGTGGAATCATCCTCAGGTAATATAGATTCAAGTTTGTTCAAATAATGAACGCCGGGGTAGGGTGGGGCCATATTGGCCGATCAAATTTTTTCGTCGGAATATATAGGAAAAATCTTTAAAAATCTTGTTCTCAAGAACCTTTAGGCCAGGAAAGATGAAACTGATGTGGAATCATCCTCCAGTAGTCGCCGATCAAATTTTTACATAGTAATATATATGAAAAATCTTTAAAAATCTTCTTAAGAACCATTGGGCCAGGAAAGATGAAACTCATGTGGAATCATCCTCAGGTAGCTAGTGTAGATTCAAATTTGTTCAAACCATGACCCCCAAGGGTTGGGTGGGGCCAAAATGGCTGATCAAAATTTTACATAGGAATTTATAGGAAAAATCTTTAAAAATCTTCTTCTCAAGAACCAGTGGGACAGGAAAGATGAAACTCATGTGGAATCATCCTCAGGTAGTGTAGATTCAAGTTTGTTCAAATCATGACCCCCGGGGCTAGGGTGGGGCCAAAATGGGCGACCCAAGTTTTACATAGAAATATATAGGAAAAATCTTTAAAAATCTTCTTCTCAAGAACCACTGGGCCAGGAAAGATGAAACTCATGTGGAATCATTCTCAGGTAGTGTAGATTCAAGTTTGTTCAAATCATGACCCCCAGGGTTAGGATGAGGCCAAAATGGCTGACCAAAGTTTTACATAGGGATTTATAGGGAAACCTTTTAAAATCGTCTTTTCAAGTACTTCAAAGTTATGATTAGTGATATTAATATGGAATCATCTTCAGGTAGTGTAGATTCTAGTTTGTTCAAATCATGAACCCCGGGGGGGGGGGGTTAAAATTCAAGCCCCCCCCCCCTGTAAACTTTCATTTCTGATCTGATATGTGCTTTTTCCAAGCCAATGTGCTCAAGTGAGCGCTGTGGCCCCTGGACCTCTTGTTTTCTAGAACTATACAAATGCAGACATCTAAAACATCATAGTTGGGATCAGATGACATGGAGGAGTGAGCATCCTCTGCTGACCGGTCACACCCGCCCTGTGCTCTTTGTCATGATTGTTAAATAACTAAAATATCCTTCTTCAATTCAATCTGTAAATAATTCACTAACAATTAGTATGAAAAACGTCAGTCAGCATTTGACTGAATGAGAAGTTGTATATGCTGACAAGGTCATTGTATTGACCAAAGAACTTACAAAATGGTGACTTTAAACGATACTGCCGATATTCTTGTTTCATCAACTTGTTTGTCAATAATTTACCTCGTTTTAGAGCATGCTCTTGCATTTCGAATCAACTTAGACATATAAATGCCATATGCAGCTGATGAAGGTATATTGCTGCATGAGTAAGGAAAGTTGATGATAGAAAAGTTAAAAACATCACGTTTATCATAAAGATTGGTTGTTAGATTACTATTAATATATGTACCTTTATTAAGTAAATTATCCAGGTATGAAAGTATCTAGGAATCTTGTGTTGTAGTTGCGTAATACTACTGATTGGTTGGAAGTCTTGCAAAAAATGAGAGCACGTGTTGGTCTTGCTCCATAGAGATTTTTTTTCTTTCTGAGGATACATCATTTTCTTGACACTTTGCTTAAAATTTTGACGAGATATTTAAATGAAATTTTACCTAACATCGAACTAAAATATTAAAAGCATTAATCATGAATAACAAAATTGTTTATCCTATGCTTTTATTCTTTAAAACTTTAAAAAATGTTAGGTGAACACTGAAGTTTGGTTCAGTGTATAAAAAAAGTCTTTAATAATTTTTTCAAGAACAATTGGGACGGAAAAGCGAAAACTTAAGCGGAAACATCCTGTCAGAGGTAGTGTTGATTCTTAACTGTTCAAATCACGACCCCGGGGGCACATGTACCGTCAGAAAGGGTTGGCCAACAACAAGTATTACAAAAAGTGGTCATCTGGTAAAAAAAACAAGCATGACCATAGTTACTCAGGTAAACGATGTGGCACCTGGGCCTCTTGATATCGTCTAGATAAATACCTTGAAATAACATTATAACTGATTTGTTCATCTCATTTACAGAAAGAAGAGGCAGATTTTGCATCCAGACCAGAAAGTCATCTTGTAAATTTAAACTGTAGTGTAAATGAAAATGAATTAGGGAATTTCGAACAATCCATAAATGCATGTGAAAGTAAAAGGCCCAATGAATGTAACATCTGTAGGAAAACGTTTAATCATCCACATGAGTTACGGAGACACATGAGTATACATTCAGGTGATAAACCTTATAGATGTAATGTGTGTGAAAAGGCATTCAAACTGACAAGAGACTTACAGAGACACATGAGGACACATACCAGTGAAAAACCTTATAACTGTGATGTGTGTGGAAAGTCTTTCAAACTGTCACATCACTTACAGGATCACATGAAAATACACACAGGTGATGAACCTTATAAATGTGATGTGTGTGAAAAGGCATTCAAACGGAAAATTGACTTTCATAGACACATGAGAACACATACCGGTGAAAAACCCTATAAATGTGATGTGTGTGGGAAGGCATTCAGACAGTCACAACACTTACAGGCTCACATGAGGACACATACAGGTGATAAACCTTATAGATGTGATGTGTGTGGGAAGGCCTTCAACGAGTCACAGAACTTAAAGAGTCACATGAGGACACATACAGGTGATAAACCTTATAAATGTGATGTGTGTGGGAAGGCATTCAGCCAGGCACAAAATTTTAAGAGTCACAGGACAACACATACAGGTGATAAACCTTATAAATGTGATGTGTGTGGGAAGTCTTTCAGCCAGTCACAAAATTTACTGATTCACATGAGGACACATACAGGTGAAAAACCATATAGATGTGATGTGTGTGGGAAGGCATTCAGCCAGTCAAAATATTTAAAGAGTCACATGAGGACACATACAGGTGAAAAACCTTATAAATGTGATGTGTGTGGGAAGGCATTCAGCCATTCACAAAACTTACCGATTCACATGAGGACACATACTGGAGAAAAACCTTATAAATGTGATGTGTGTGGGAAGGCTTTCAACCAGTCACAAAATTTTAAGAGTCACATGAGGACACATACAGGTGATAAACCTTATAAATGTGATGTGTGTGGGAAGGCATTCAAACTGTCACATCACGTACAAGGTCACATGAGAATACATACTGGTGATAAACCTTATAAATGTGATGTGTGTGGGAAGACATTCAGCCATTCACAAAATTTTAAGAGTCACATGAGGAAACATACAGGTGATAAACCTTATAAATGTGATGTGTGTGGGAAGGCTTTCAACCAGAAACAGAACTTAAAGAGACACCTGAGGACACATACAGGTGAAAAACCGTATAAATGTGATGTGTGTGGGAAGGAATTTGCACTGTCACATCACCTACAGGACCACATGAAGACACATACAGGTAATAAATCTTATAAATGTGGTGTGTGTGAGAAAGCATTCAACAGATTAAATGACTTACTGGATCACATGAGAATACACACAGGTGATGAACCTTATAAATGTGATGTGTGTGAAAAGGCATTCAAACGAAGAATTGTCTTTCATAGACACATGAGGACACATATCGGTGAAAAACCTTATAAATGTGATGTGTGTGGGAAGGCTTTCAGCCAGTCACAATATTTTAAGAGCCACATGAGGACACATACAGGTGATAAACCTTATAAATGTGATGTGTGTGGGAAGGCATTCAAACTGTCACATCACTTACAGGGTCACATGAGAATACATACTGGTGATAATCCTTATAAATGTGATGTGTGTGGGAAGACATTCAGACAGTCACAACACTTAAAGGATCACATGAGGACACATACAGGTGATAAACCTTATATTTGTGATGTGTGTGGGAAGGCATTCAACATCTCTCAAAACTTAAAGAGGCACATGAGGACACATACAGGTGAAAAAACCTTATAAATGTGGTGTATGTGGGAAGGTTTTCAACATCTCTCAAAACTTAAAGAGGCACATGAGGACACATACAGGTGAAAAAACCTTATAAATGTGGTGTATGTGGGAAGGTTTTCTGCCAGTCACAACACTTACAGAGTCACATTAGGACACATGATAATCCTCATATTTGTGATATAGATGATAATCCTTATGTATGTGATGTTTATGAAAAGGCATTCAATTGTTCTAAAAAACTTCAAAAGACATTGTAGGATACATAGTGGTGACAAAGCTTAGATCACTCTGTAGATATGTGGTTTGTGTAAGAAAGCGTTCTATGAAAAAATGGATTTAAATAAACACATGAGGACACATACACATGATACAGATGAGAACTATATAATGTGATGTATGTGAAAAGGCATTCAAACAATTAGGTAACTTAGATTTGTATATGAGAACACATATGATTTATAAACTTGATGAATATTGTGGGGGGGGGGAAGGTCGACGGATCCAGTAATGCACAGGTTCAGGAATAGATACATTCAGGTTACCTTAGGAATGGGATATATGAGTGGGAAAACATTCTCTGAATAAGAGATAAGAAACGCATGACTGGTCGACAGGGGATGCTCATTCCTCCATGGTACCTGGTCCTTCTTCTAAAGTGTTGTAGGTCCATGTTTCCTGTGCTCGTATTTTGTATTATTAGCTCACTTGAGCCTTTGGCTCAAGGGAGCCTTTCTGATCACATTTTTTTCGGCGTCCGTCTGTCTGTTTGTCTGTTTGTCTGTAAACTTTATCACATTTTCAACTTCTCGAGAACCGCAGGGCCGATTTCAACCAAACTTGCCATAACGGATCCTTGGGTGAAGGATTCAAGTTTTTCTCAAATGATGGGCCACGCCCACATTCAAGGGGAGATAATTGGGAACTAATGAAAATTTGGTGGTATGCTTTAAAAATCTTCTTCTCAAGAACCACTATGCCAGGAAAGATGAAACTTATGGGGAAAGATCCTCAGGAAGTGTAGATTCAAGTTTGTTCAAATCATGACCCCCAGGAAATATATAGGGATTTTTAAAAATCTTATTCTTAAGAATTGCAAAGCCATAATTGATCATATTCATATGGAAGCATTCTCAGTATTTTTGTTGAAACTTCTTTAAAAATCATCTTCTTAAGAATAGCAACTACTCCTCCTACAGTTTTGGTCTGATTTCAATATCACATGGCACACAAGTAGACTACCATAAGATACATAAAATAGTGAATCGGTTTTTGATTTAGATGAAAGTCGTTGCCATGGTTACTAAGAATAGAATTTTCTGTGAAATTCCTTTAAAACGCTACTCTTTCTACAGTTTTAGTCTCATTTCAGTATCACTTGGCACACAAGTAGATTACACTATGATGCATTAAATTGTGCATCGGTTTTGTATTTAAATGAGTGGTGTTGCAATGGTTACTAAAATTAGAATTTTCTGAGAAATTCCTTTAAAACGCTACTCCTCCTACGGTTTTAGTCTGATTTAAATATTACTTGGCACACAAGTAGACAACACTAAGATACCTAAAATAGTGCATCGGTTTTTGATTTCGATTAACGGTGTTGCCATGGGTACTAAATATAGAATTTTCTGTGAAATTTCTTTAAAACGCTACTCCTTCTACAGTTTTAGTCTCATTTCAATATCACTTGGCACACAAGTAGACTACACTTAATATACATGAAATAGTGCATCGGTGTTTGATTTCGATTAGCGGTGTTGCAATGGTAACTAAAAATAGAATTTTTCTGAGAAATTCCTTTAAAACGTTACTCCTTCTACAGTTTTGGTCTGATTTCAATATCTCTTGGCACACAAGTAAACTACACTAATTTACATATAACAGTGCATCGGTTTTTGATTTCAATGAACGGTGTTGCCATGGTTACTAAAAGTAGAATTTTCTGAGAAATTCCTTTAAAACGCTACTCCTTCTACAGTTTTGGTCTCATTTCAATATAACATCACACAAGTAGACTACACTTGGATACATAATTCTGTGCATCAGTTTTTGATCAGTACAAACCAGTAGAGCTACAGAGGTTTTCCTAGCCACAGTGCTCAGGTGAGCGATGTGGCCTAGGAGCCCTTGTTTTATTGAATTTTGTTCTTCAATACTGTTTGCTATGTACATATGTTTTATCATGAGGTGAAAAACAATAAAAATATAATGTGTTAGTGACCACATATAAACTGTAGGCCTTTCAACTTCTTTTTCAAGTTGCACATACATGTGTGGTAAAGACATTTCAGAGAAAGATTTATGGGTACATAAAGTTATAAAAAGATAACTTATGCATGCCTTTAAATTAAATAATTGACTTGAACGATGTTGTGTTTTAAGGACAGGTAACTCGAGATGTCTTGAGTGTGAAAATGACTGACTTATACCCCAAGCATACGACGCGATTTGCATACCTCAGCAAATTTTACACATAAGAAAATTTACTCACGTGTGCAATTTAAGTCGTATGAACTAATTTACTATATGCAACTTCTGCACATTTGAGTAAATTTACACCTGGTCTGGACTAGGGGTAAATTAACTTTGCAAACCTTTTGTAGCAAATTATTAATTCATGTGTGTAAATGTATGTGTTTTGTTTTGTTCGTTGCATAAATCTTAATTCTAAGTGTTGTTTCGGTTGTGTATGCATTGGCGCATAAAATATCAGTTGGTAAACATGTTGGCTAGAAGGGAGACAAACAAACAAGAAGTCATATCCTTCAGAGAAAAAATTTCGAATTTGCAAAAACGAAGGCATCTTGCGCCCTTTATGGCAAACTTATGTTTATGTTTCTAAAGATATAGTTGTGGTCGCAAACAAGTGTCCTGGAGGATCAATAGGTAATGTCCTCACTATGCTAGTTGTCTCCTTTGGAATGCTCCAGAGCTATGATAGGAACATACATTCCATCAATTGCTCAGGCCCCATTACCGTTTAGCTCTTGATGACTTTCTTAGAACTACCTTTCTCTGTTTTTAATTCAGACAAGCTACTCACATATAAGCTAATATGACAGGAATTTCAATAAACTCATTTAGATAGCAATGTATTGAATGATGATCTACATATTGATGGGTTTACCAACATTATTCATAAAGATAGAAACTCTTTTGGGAGCGATGTCTTCACATGAAATACACGATATTATAAAACAATAATGATCTCACTAATAGAATCCATGAACCAAGAGAGTCACGAATACCACGCAAACACTTATTGACCCGATTCTCACAACACATAACGTTGAGGCAAATCAGTCAGATGTTCTAAATATAGACTCCTTTTTAAGTGATAACAAAGCGACCTATATATCAATTTTTCAACATATAAACTCGATCGTGCATATAAACGTAAAATGTGACAGTATTAAAATGCTAATATTGAAAAATTTAACAATTGAATTGAATCATATGATTAGGACAGACTAGTTTGCAAATCCGAAAATATAGACACAGCCACTGAGCTTTTTACCTCACAATATTTGTCATATGTTCATGAATGCAAACCTGAAAAAAACTATAATTATTAGACCCAAAGATAAACCTTGGATTGATTCACTATCAGAATACGTAATAGACTATGTAATTAGGCGTTAAAAACCGATAAAGATTCAGACTGGGCTAATTTTCGGAAAATAAGAAAGTGGATAATATGAAAAAAAAAATGCAATATCTAATTACTATGATAATATGGATATTCAAATTAATGATGCGAATAAAATTGACAACAAATTGTACTGGAAACTAATGAAAGACGCTTTTGGGGTCAAACTTTCATCAGACATCCACCTATTCACATTTCTGATAATAGAAATAGTTCAACTGCATTTACTGATCTTGAAAAAGTTGAGGCACTAAATAAATACTTCTCCTCTATATCGAATATTGAAGGCATTGGAAACAACCTACCCGACAAATACTTATTGTGTAACTATATGCTAAGTGAAATCGTCATTCAAAAGCAGGGAATAATTGATGTAATACCAATACTTTCAGTAAATTAAGCTATCGGGCCAGATTGCTTTAGTCACAAAATGTTGAAATCAACAATTCGGACTATTTCAGAACCGCTTTGTGTGTTATTTAATAAATCTCTGAAGGAAAACTCTTTTCCCGATTCCTGGAAATCAGCTTATGTTCTCCCTCTTTTTGATCTATCGAAGGCTTTCGATAGAGTCTGGCATAAGGGTCTTCTTTTTAAACTGCAAACTTACGGAATGGTATAAATGTTATTATAACAGTTATTTAAACAGTTGGATCAAAAAGTATTGTATAAAAATATCTTATCTTATCGTCTAATGCAGGGGTACCTTTCTACCCTACTTTTTAGCTCACCTTGACGAAGTCGAGATGAGCTTATGCTATACCCCCGGTGTCGGCGTCCCGGTTTAAGTTTTTGGAGCAGGTCTATTCCCAAGTAACTATAAGCCCTACCTGGACCAAACTTGCATGATTGATGCATCTAGGGATGGACACTACCAGACTTGCTTCGGATGCTGGATGTGACTTACATTTTCCAGATGAGTGACCAGGTTAAAGTTTTTGGAGCAGGTCCATTCCCAAGTAACTGTAAGCCCTTCCTGGACCAAACTTACATTTATGATGCATCTAGGGATGGACACTACCAGACTTGCTTCGGATGCTGGATGTGACCAACATTTTCCAGATGTGTGACCAGGGTAAAGTTTTTGGAGTAGTTTCATTCCCAAGTATCTATCAGCCCTATCCGTACCAAACTTGCATGGGTGATGCCTCTAAGGACGGATAATCGAAACTTGCATCGGATTGGATCTGACCAACAATTTTCAAACGAGTGACGAGGTTAAAGTTTTTCGAAGAGGTCAATCGCCAATGAGTTTTAAGACCTATTTAAACAGAACTTGCTTGAATATTGTTGTCAGAATAAATACTTACTGTTAAAGAAAAATATGATGTTAGATTTGCATTACCTAAACTGATAACATTCGTCGAGGTGAGCTTCGTAATCTTTGAATACCTATGTTTATATATATATATATATATACCTGTGGTTTTTTAAATGATAAATTAACCAAGCTATAAACATGTAAAAATTTTGTATAGTTTTGTAATTTCCATTAAAATGTGCATTTTTTTCAAGAATGATACATTAAACAAGTCAAAACTGTCTGTCTTTTTCGATTAAAAATAATTGAATTTATAACATTTCATATGCCAGTTAACTAACATTATAAAATATTCATTGTCTGTTTTTTGACCTTTATTATAACTTTTCAATTATCGCTTTGTTCAATATGCATTGTATAAAACTTTAAATAAAAAAATGAAAAGGAAATGTCTTGGAAATTAAAACCAAAAGAACTTACTTTATGTTAGGTTTTTCTGTTGCTTAGAATCCAAATATCAAATCCTTACAGAACCTACCAAAATTACTAAACTATCGGTCTTTCTGTTGATTACAAAAAAAAAAAATGCGCAGCTTTTAAAAACAATACCAATGCGCTGAGGCATAATATTTGTTACAGAAAGAAGAACAGCTTAATTAAAAATATGTTCAAACAAAAACATGTACCGATTTCAAATGTATTTCGTGACGCCGAATTAAGCTTTATTCACCGTTAAATACAAAAACATCTGAAGACCTTATGAAGAATCCGAAATGTAGACACGAAGCTTTTAAATATCTTTCACTCAAAGAATGATTCCTTTTAAAGACGTAATAGGCACAACCTCTATAGTAAATTTAAAACAAGAATATACTCACACCCCTCAAAGCCGCCTTTGTATTATTCTTATGGGAAACGTAGTCTGGTCCGATTTATAGAAAAAAAAATACTTCTAACGGCAAATAATTATTATTTGGTCAAGCATAGTTTTTTAACCTATTTCGAGTATGCTGAATCCGAAAAAATATGCTGGCCCTCATGAAAATAGCATTAAAGAGGTCAAAATGGCGATTCAAAATGGCAGACTTGAAAATTGTTCTACGGCGTACCCACATTTTTACTAGTTAAAAATGCTTCACATCAATTAAAAAGCTTTCCAAATCGAATTGAAGGCGAAAATAATAAAAACGAATAAAAATTATGTAATAACTTACCACATGATATTGAACAATAGAAATTGACGCCATCTTCATCTGTGTTAGAAGGAATAATGGGAATAATCATCATTCATGAGTTATTGAAACATAAACCCGACGAGCTTGGTTTACCTACCTTTAAAGGGGAAATGGCTGCAAATCGTGCGCTTTTTCATTAAATTTACCCAATATATCATTCAGAAATAAAAAAAAATAAATAAAAAATAGTTAACATTTTAGTCTGCATTCAGACGAATTTAAATAATTAAGTACAAATGCTACATTTTGTGTAATGGGGTGCAGAAAGGAAAAAGAAAATCCACCAATCATACGTTATCGCGGCAAATTGTCAAACAAAATATCTTTCCCATTCCAATACAATTTGTTCTTCTAATAGCAATAATCTTTACTTGTCATAAATGCATTTTTATGCTGAGTTTACACTGAATTTTTAAATCTTTGAAAGCCATAAATATACGAGAAATGATAGCATGTATCAACAAACCTGTAGGATAGAACCTTCGCGAGCCCCACGTGAAAATCGCTGAGATCCTG